GGGGCATTTCCTCACTGCCACGGGAGGGGAGCTGAGGTGCAGCTGCCATAGCTGGCAGTGGCTGGGCCTCGTCCGGCCCTTGCGGACCCTCAATTCCCCCAGCGCTGCACTCCTGCCTGACCACCCACTCCCGGGACAGCACAGGGGCCGGGGAGGGAGCGCTTAGATGGAGAACCTCGGGCCCCGAGCCCCTCCTCCAACACCACCTCCAGTCCTGGGCTCAGCGCCCTCCGTGCCAGGGGCCCTGCGACCCCAGAAAGCCTGCGGGGCAGAATGCCCATGCTTCAGAACAGAGGACAGTGACGTCCCAGGTAAACAAAACCTCAGTCCTTTGGAAGGGCACAGGTGCTGGGCAGCTGACTGGGACCTGATGGGGAGTAGGTGCCTCTCTGTTCCCTTGACCAACTCAGTGGCCCCTGTTCCAGCCCCTCTGGCTGGCAGAGCCCCTGCAGGCAGGGTGAGACTGGGCCACGGTCACGCCCAGGTGCTGCTGGCTGGCTGCAGCCAGGAGGGTCCTCCTACGGGGGGAGGAGCACAGCGCTGGACACAGCACGCTCTGGCCTCCCACCGCCAGGCCAGCCCCGCTCAGCATCCTCAGAGGAGCAGGTGGGCAAGTGTGGCAGGGCAGCACCCCGATCTCAACAGGGGCAGAGCCACGGGCCCAGAGAAGGGCCAAGGGGATTCAGGCTTTGGGGCCACATGGGGTGAAGCTGCATGTATGGTCGAGCCCCCGGGGCAAGAGCTGGCCGGAGGGGACCAGGGGGCTGTTGGGGCTGGGCCTCCAGCACGGTGGCTGCTGGCAGAGCCCCCTCCCGCCAGCCCTTCCCATCTGACGGGAGGCGGGCCCAGGAACGGGGTCAGATCAGGCCTGTGGCCTGGGCTCCTCAGCCACTGCCCGCTGAGCTCACGCTGGCTCCCCGGGCCCGGCCGCCCTTGGCTGCGGGTTGGTGTGGCTGTGTGTTCCTGGGAACACCTAGAAACCGGGACTGCTTGGGAACACTGTGGTGTTGCCATGTGCAGCTTTTCCTGCAGCCCAGCCAGGGAGGCTGGCCTTGGCCGGCTAGCAGGCTGGCCCCTGGTGCCCAGGGCTGCGGCCCATGCCCGCCAGGCTGCTATGGAATGTGCGCCCGTGCAAGGCCCCCAGCCCCCAGCCCCAGGCCCCAGAGCCATGGTGTTTTCTGAAGGAAGTGACTCAGGGCCGAGCACACTCCTCCCAGCCCCGAGACCCACTCTGGTCCTGCCCCCGGAATGCACAGGCGTCCGCAGCCCGTGGCCTGGCCTGAGGCGGAGGGTGACCGCTCGGCGAGGCGGAGGGGCCTGTCTTCCAGCCCCGGCGTCTGGAATGTGGCTCCGCTCCACAGACTCCTGCCCCCATTTCAGCTGCGGCGCATTCCTGGTGTGAGCCCAGGCCAGCCCGGAGCTTTTTCCACGCTCCGGTGCCAGCCCCAGTGGGCTCAGGGGAGGGGAGAGGACGGTTTCTATGGCAACCTCACTTTTTGTTATTTCTTATTTTCTTTTTTATGGTTTCTCCAACTTTGAAGCTCTCCAGACAGTTTACAGACTGTGAAAAGGAAAAGTACTTTTCCCTCTCTCCCGAGTCCCCCCAGCAGGGCTGCCCTCAGGCCTTACCCAGAAAGCCCCAGCCCAGTCCCTTCCCCATGGCCAGGCTGGGGCAGGGGCTTCAGAAACGAGCCAGACACACCATGACTTCAGAGGTTGTTATTTTTAAAAACATTTTAGAGAAAATGAATTATTTTCCTCCTAAAAAGGTAGTAATATTTGCAAAAGAATCTCTCTGCACAGCCATGTGGTCTGGTCAGCAGTGCTGGTCAGGGGGTCTCCACAGCTCATGGCCAGAACTGCCATGTGTCCTCTGTGCTCCCACATCAGGGCCCCAGATCTGCGTTCAGGAGACCCACGTCTGTAGCTGGGCCTGTGGCCTGAGATCAGAGGTCATTTCCTTCACCTCAAATAATTTATTTACCTACGCTGAGTGCCCAGCATGCAGGAAGACAGCAGCCTGGTCCTAGGGTCTCAGTACCCAGGACACATCGTAGAGCCCCAAGCAGACACCGGGGCAGGGTCCCAAGAAGATGGCAGGTGGGGGTCTCAGGGGAAGGTGGGCGTGCAAGACAGGCCAGGCCTGGGGACGGGAGTGAGGCTACCCCAGTGGCTGCCAGGAGGCCGAGGACCAGCCTGCCCATCTCTTGCAGGGGACTACGTGGTCATGGTCCACGACGTGACCACCCCTCCACTCCTGGGCCACACGCTGCCCACCGCCTTCAAACACCTGCGGATCTTGGCGAAGGGGGCCAGCCAGCGGCCACAAGTACCTGAGAAAGGCCCCGAAGCCCCGAGCTAGAGGCGGGCCACCCACCGATGCTCCCCAGGGCTGCCAGGGCCTCGGTGATGTCTGCACCCCTCAGGAGGCCTCCCCCACTTTGAATGGGAGGAAATGCTACCTCCACCTCCAGGGACCCTGCCTCCATTTCCCCAAATGGCCTGAGCAACCAGGAGTCAGGGGTGCCAGGTGAGCCACCCCACGAGCCCATAGGCCACTGGCTTGAATAAAGTATTCAACGCTGACTATGGAGTGGCACCTCTCGATGCCCCAAGGCAGGGTGGTGGCCCCTCGCTACACACCTGGGAAGAAGGAGTGCTGGTAGGACACGCTTGGGGCTCCTCTCAGAGCCCCGAGGCCAAAGCCCATGTGGGGATTCGCCGCCAGGCAGGGCCTGGAGTGGTGGTCCCTGTCCCCTGCCACAGAGCCCTGCAGTGAGGCCAGCCCGTCTGGACCCCGGCCCCACTCAGTGCATTGTGACCCCAGCGATCCAGCCCATGGGATAAGGCCCCACAACAGGGAGGGACCCAGAGGCAGCACGCATGGGACTGGCTTTCCAGAAGCAGCATGCGTGTGGCCCTGGCTGGGCTCCCCTTCCACATGCCCAGTGGCTGGATGTGGGCACCCCCCTCACCCTGGCACATGTTCTCTTGGGCCACATCCTTTGCAGAGAAGCCAGTGGTCCTGCTGCCCAGGACTGTGGACAGCTGAGACTGGTGAGCCCCCAGGGTACCCACGCTGCCACTCAGGAGGGTGGGCAGGGAAGTCACCTCACTGCATCTTCCAAAAGCCCGAGGCCAGTGCCCACTGACTTCGCTGGGCCATCCCCGAGGCTCCCAGGGTCCAGAGCTGAGGCCTGGCTGATGGCTTGGTCACAGCCATGGACATGGGCCTGTGAGCCTTGGTGGCCCTGTGCACAACCCATGGTTCTCTGTCCCGAGCCCTTGACATCAGGCACCCGTCGGAGGGGATGAGCTACCTTCCCGCCACCTGGGCCAGCCTGGGCTGCTCCTGCCTGGGTCACTTGCCCAGCCAGGCTGGCCCTGCACACGCAGCAGGTGCAGGAGCCCCTCACGAATGGCCAGGTGACCTGGGGTCACGCTCCTGCACCCCCAGGACAACGGCATCTGAGCTGCACCCGTGTCCGCTTTCAGATGCAGCACGAGGCTTGGCGGCTCCTTTTCCTTCAAGATGAAACCACATTTCTGTCAAAAGAAAAACAAAAAAAATGATGTTTCAGTTTAGGATGGGAGAAACTGCTAGGGACAGCAGCAGCTGCCGCGTCCTCTAAGGTGTCAAGAGGCACCTTCAGTGTTCAATTCCCAGTCAGCATCTGCGGCTTTAAAGTCACAAAACCCATGGCAGGAAATTCAGTTATTACTCCCCATGGGAAGCCACAGGGAAGGGGGCCTGCGCCACGGCGGGCTCCGTGTAAACAGCAGACACGTCTCAGCACCAACCAAGGCCGGCTCCTCAGTCGGAAGAACTCTCTGCAGACACGGAAACCGGGGAGCTCCCGCCTTGCACTGTTATCACAGCAAACCCTAAAGCAGACGCCCGTCCCGGGGCCCTGCCTGGCCCCACCCAGCTCTGCTGCCCTCTGCACCCCCATCCCCACCCTGCCAGGACAGGGCACGGGGACTCCTAGGTGGGCAGAAGCGGCCTCTCAGGTCGGCTGCAGCCTCTGGTTTCGGGGCCCAGGGACAGCTGGCCGTTCAGGCTCTGCAGTCCTGGGACTCATCTGGACTTCCAAGGAGACAGGAGCCAGGCGAAGGCCACGCCACCCAACCCCCACTTCTCACACTATGTCCCAAACTCAAAATACATAGAAAGTTTGAATTCTCAAAAGAAAAAAAAAAGGGGGGGGGACAGTCCCGGAGTTGGATTTTGTGGCCACAGACACTGAGCGGGCAGGAGAGGAAGCCCGAGAGGCACAGAAGCAGCCAGCATTGGGGTTCAGTCCCCCAGGGACTGTCCACGGAGCCCATGGTCCCCACAGCCTCCCCAGTCCCTCCCGCCCCGGGGCAGCTGGCCCCACCCAAAGCCAGCAGCCGCCACCAGCCCCTCCATCTGGGTCTGGGCACCAACTCCTGGGCTCTGGAAGCACAGCCAGCTCCGGGGCCTCAGCGAGAGGGAACGGACGCAGGTGGGCCTGGCCCCGCACCAGGGTGTGCGTCAGGGTGGGGGCAGCTGGTGGTGGCGGCTGTGGAAACACCCCCAGTTCGGGCCAGGGTGGCCATCTGACCGCCAACACAGCCAGACGTGAGCGGAGCCACGCTGGCCTCTTCCAGGTGGGCAGGGGCTCTCCAGGCCATCCTGGGGGGGGCTCCATCTGCCTCTGGCTTGGAGACCCCAGGGAGAGGAAGGGCCTCTGGGCGCCTCTCCTGGGAGCCAGCAGCAGTGGGCCAGGCAGGGGTCTGGGACCCCAAAGCTACCCGCCCTCTGGCGAGCTCACACGGCACTGGGGTGGGACAGGCTGGCAGGCAGTGGGGACAAGGGTGCGAGGGGCCAGCCAGTCTGATGGGGTGTGGCGTGACGCTGCCCTCCACACCCCTGCACCCGGGAAGTGGAGCCTGGCCCCAGCCCTGTCCAGCCCCAACTCCTGCCCCTGGAAGGAGTCTCAGGAAGGGGGCTCCAGGGCCCGGGCCTGACTCCAGCCGGAGCCCTTCTCCCCTGCCCCCCACTTGCCCTCTGACCTCCCAGGGAGGGGAACGTAGGCCTGTCCCTTCATCTATGTGACAGATGTGCACTGAGCGATGATGACCAGCGAGCACCGAGCAGGCACTGCTGTGACAGACGGACATCCTCAGCTGAGTCTGTGCGCAAGCAAGACAGACGGAGAGACGCGGAGAAAGGGCAGGGACCAGGAGAGAGTGACAGAGACTGAGAGTGGCAGAGAAACAGAAATGAAGACAGAGGGAAAGAGACAAAGATACAGACAGACAGACGGAGAAGAAGAGATGGAGAGACAGAGACGGACAGAGAGACAGAGCGAGACAGCGTGGCCAGGCCGCACCAGAGCCCCGCAGGGCTGCCCAGGCTGTGCCGCCCTTCCACTGGGCCCCGCCTGGCACAGGCGGCTCCTCCCAGCCTCTCTGCCCAGTCACCCAGGACACTCCCAGAGGGCCTCCTAGATCCCTCATGACAGCCTGGGCAGGCCTCCGGGTCTCGGTGCCAGGCGGGCGGCAAGGCCAGCTGTGTGGAGCCCGGGCCCCTCCCAGGCAGGGCTTCCTGGAGGGTGCCGGGCGCCCAGCCTGCCAGACGGGTTCCTGTGCAGCCCGGCCCTCCCCTGCCAGCTCACCGCCCGCCCAGGGAGCCCTCAGTCCTGGAGCAGTGTGAATGGAGTCACCAGGCCTGTGTCAGCAAGACCACTGCCCAGCAGACAGCTCTCAGGGCAGGGGACAGCCACCTGGGGCCAGACTTAGGGCCTCCCTGATAGGAGAGACCCCGACAGGGCTGGCAAGGGGAACTTGGAAGCCAGGTCAGGGCTCCCAGCAGGTGCGGAGGGGCCTGCCCTCAGCAAGCCTCTAGGAAGCCCGGCTGGTGCTCCGGGGGGAGGGAGGTGTAAGGTCAGCGTGGGCCAGGCGGTGACCTGCATCGACTGCAGCCGCCCCAGCCCGGGCTCCTCCTGGCATGAGGCCTCAGGTCTCTGAGGAGTGGGTGGGCCGCCCCCGTGCCATGCCAAGGACATGTTTTCTGAGACTATAGATAGGGCTGTCAGCGGCTAGCCGGGCAGCTCTGACGGGGCCTGGCCAGATGTGCTGCGGTTCCGCCATGCACGAGGCCAGCCATTGGCGGGCCCAGCTGCCCACCCTGCCCCTCATTTGGCCGCTGGGACAGTGCCACTCTCAAAAACTGTAGACACCCCTCCTCCTGGTACTCCTTACCTTCTTCCCCTGGGAAGCCATACAGGAGAACCAGGACAGGGCTGGCCCTAGAATGCAGCTTCAGAGCTCCTGCAGGGTGGCCCTGAGTCTGTGGGGCCTCCCTCCTGGGGCGGCTGGACAAGCAGCAGGCCTGGGGGGACGCAGGAGGGTGCTACCCACCCCAGTCCCCCAAGGCTCCTTGGCTCCTGGGGTCAACCCCAGCCAGGCAACCCCAGAGGGGCCCTAATAAAGGGTCCTGGCCCTGCCCGCCTCTCCCTCACCAGCTCCCAGGCCCTGCAGCTGCTCTATACCCATCCATTCCGGCAGCAGGACTGGTGCCCAGAGACGCCACCTGCCACACCGTCCCAGGGACTGGACTGGCCTCCAAGGGTTTCTCCTCCTTAAAGAGCCCAGCTGGGCACCCCCCGTGGGCTTTCACCAGGCAGTCAGGCAAAGACAGTAAAACACGGAGACAGGCCCTGCGACTAGATCTCCCAAGAGCACTGGAAAGGACGCTGTGGGCTCGAGCTCAGAAGGGTCACACAGGCCACTGCTCGGGATGGGGCTAGGGGCGCATCCTGGCTCCACATGGGTCCTGGCCAGGCCATGGGAGATGAGTCTGGGGTGGCCAGCCTGACTTGTGTCCTCTAAGAAAAGGACTGGCAAGTGGGGGGGATGGGGGGTAGGGACCTGGGGTGAGAGGATCAGCGGCCTGGATGTGGCCAGGGCAGCAGGTGTGACCGAGGATGGTGCTGGAGCTGCGTGCATGTCCTTCCGGGGAGCTCCACGGAGAAGAGGGTGGGGGTGGGGACGGGCGTGGGGGGCTGGGGACAAGGGTCCCGGTGAGGGACAGGTGGCGGGGGTGGGTTGGGGCAGTACCATCCTGATGGCATGCGGTGGAAGGCAGGAGGACGAGGTCTGGGACGAGGAGCATTTCTGGGGGGTGGGCAGGTCACTGTGTGGCCATCGGTGGCCTCGAGGTCTCCTGTGGATGAGTCCACACCCCACCCATCCCTGCTCGTCCCAGAGGTGCCTCCCCGCGCAGCGGCTCAGCTCGTCTGGGCCTCCCGGCCTCGATAGGGATGGCCACCGGGATCCCCCCAGCTGGGGGACCAGGCACAATGGGCTTCCCAGAGCAGGGGGCGGGGAGGCTCT